CGTCGCCGTCGACACCGGCGACAAACTGACCATAAAGTGCGAGAACAGCGACCCTAAAGAGGAGACAGTGGGCGCGTGTCGGGCGCTGACAGCGGCGCCCATCGACCCGACGCCCGTCCATCACGTGCTCAACGATCTGGAAATGAATCGCATGAAAGAGTTGGGCCACGCGTTTGTGGCGGCGATGGGCGAAGAGGACCGGCTCAGCCCTAACCCGGAGGCCCACCACCAGCACACGGATGCCGTCCAGATGACAGACAACGCCGTCCGACGGCTCATTCAGATGATCAAGAAGATCAACGGCTACAAGAATCTGTGCCAACACGACCAGATAGCCCTGATGAAGGCCGGTTGCACCGAGATCATTATTTTACGATCCGTACAGACGTATAATTTTGAACGCGATTTTTGGTCGATAGTGAAGGATAGCAAGAATCCCACTCTCATCAAGTTGGACGCGCTCAAGCCGTCCCTCCGGCCCTGTATTTTTGAGGCACACAAACGCTTTATGGCACAGATTGGCCACGAATGGGACAAGAATCTCGATATTCTCAATCTGGTAATTATTATTATTTTTATTTAACTAGTTTGTTATGTGTAGTTATATCCCACTAGTTATATCAGATTCAGTATCCCACTGTCCCTTCCCTATCATTTGTGATAAACTTTACCCCCATATAATGTACTCAATATATTTATTGCAAATAATTATTTATAATAATTATTTTTTTTATTATAGTTGTCGACAATTGTGCTCTTCGACCCAAACCGACCCAATATTATTCACAAAGATATGATTGCGTAAGTGTTTTCAAAGTACATACTATTGTTTAGCGACAGTATTATTTGAGTACATTTGTGATGCTGTTTTATATTATGCTATAATTATTCTGTTATTTCATTGAATATTAATATCAATTATATATGAATATATAAATTATCATGAGATTCAATTGTGCCGTTAATATTATGCTTAACACATGTACAATATGTACCATAAACTGAGAACTTGATGACTTAATACATGTACTAGGGTACTATTTTTTATTAATATTTAGCATAAGCTATTAACTGTCGTACCAAATAGTGGTTATAAAATAATTTGTTTTTTGGACAAAAATATGTTTTTTAATTTTTAATGGCAAACAACAAGTCTATTAATGATTTGGCGTTTTTTAAGTGCATGTGAATTAGTTTTCAGAACATTTTATATATTAGTTTATTATATGTTTTAATTAAACATGATGGAAAATAATTTTGCCAAACGAACAGAATAACATATGCTACTAAAAGTCCTAGATGCTAGATTTAGTGCACTTTGCCTAATATAAAATCA